CTGGCTCTACACTCAGGAATCACTCTTGTTGGTGTGTGTGTGTGTGTGGAGGGATAGTACCTCGTTGGCCACATGCGAGGCAAGTGCCCTATCTGTTTATTATCTCTCCAGCCCCAATTTTTTGTAGTTTTTAATTTTCGTTTGCTCTTTGGCTGGGGGTCACACCTGGTGATTCTCAGGGGTTGCTCCTGGTAGTGCTTGGGGACCACATGCGGGCCTTCTGCATGCAAAGCATGTCTAGCAGGCACTCTAACTCTTCCAGTTCTCCTATGGTCTCTCTGCAGGTTTTCTAGACTATTACTCCTAACCAGGTATTGTTTTTGCCCTTTCTTTCAAATATCTATTGAAAATTCAGGGCTGGAGAAAGAGTACAAAAGGTAGGGCTCTCACCTTGCATGCAGCTGACCTGGGTTTGCTCTGCAGCATCCTATACGGTTCCTGAGCACTGCAGGAGTGATTCGTGAGTGCAGAGCCAGGAGTAACCCACGAGCACCACCGGGTGTGGCCCAAATGCAAGGCAATGCCCTAGCTGCTATACTCTCTCTTGGCCCTCATGAGATCTTACTCCAGAGAATTTTACCAGCATCTTGGCCCCCTTTTGCTGGCAAAAGAGAAAAGTATTTTTAAGCTTTTGGAAGCTTTATGGTTTCCTTATTAGAGCTTTCTCACTAGCATACCGTTATCAAAATGAACTGCCCATCCTTTGTGAGAAATGCTCTGAAAGCTATTTCCTGAGTTAATGGTATGGCTTTGTCTCCCTGGATTAGAACTGATTTAATATGAAACGAAGATTCAAACATCCTTAAGATATTTAGTAATAAATGAGAATCGCAATTCACAGTGTTGGCTTCAATGACATAAGCAATCCAAAATAAGTATTTGATCACCGTATATTATTACTGCAATAGCATTTCCAGAGAGATCTGAAATAGCCAGAGGCCATAAAATGAAGCCACACTGCACTAATACGTGAAGCAAAGTTCAAACCTGGATTATAATAAAAAGACAAAAGCATCATCAGTGACGATGATAGGTACATCGCTGAACTAAATCTGATTTTCTTGAGGAAGGAAGGTACGAATGTCTTATAATAGAATATTATGCCTTTGAAGGCCTGAGAAACAAGTCCTCAAAACCCTCCCCCTGACAATCAAATCACATTGATAAATGTCTTATTTACGTAAGGGGAGAAAAAGCAGAGATGACTAAGCTGAAAAAAATCTCTTCTAGTCTGTCTAGCATCTTTTCTAAGCAGTGCAGTTCCTGATAAAACAGGAAAACAAAGCAAGGGTTTACTACATCAGTTAGGGAAGATGGCAGGGTTGTTGTTTGTATGCGGGTGTAGACAGAGATCGAACCCAGGGCCTTGGAAGCATGCACTCACTGAGTATATCCCTCGCCTCCAAATAGCAGTTCTTATGTAGGAAAAAAAATTTGATAACAGCAATGAGTAAAAAAGTCTTTAGGCGTCAGAGAAATACTGCCATCCCCACATAGGCAGTGCAGATAATCAGAAAATGGGACAAGAGCAGACCTGCATCTAGCCTGTCTCTAAAATCAGAAAGGAAACTATTACAACACAGCAGAGGGCAGCCCTTCAGTGTCTCAGAAGGAGCACTTTGCTGGGCAATAACTGAACATTTCCTACATGCAAAGGATAATGTACTCAGAGATCAACTGAAAAGAATCTCTGAGCCCCTCAAATTCTACAAAGATGTAACCTAATAAATCCACCAATGAAAAGAACCCTGGCTATTCAGAAATTTTAAAAACTACATTCTTGTTTTCTCAAGCCCATTTATATGTTTTTCTATTTTGTTTTGGTTTTTGGTTTGGGGGGCCACATCCAATGGTAATCCCACATCAGGGATTACTTCTTACTGGCTCAGGGGAACATACAGGGTACCGGGTCTGCCCTGTAAAAGGCAAATGCCTGATCCACTGTACTATCTTTCTGGCTCCATCTAAGCCTATATATTTTTATGTAATGAAACAAAACACAAACCACACATATAAGAATTATGAGGAACCCTCAGGAAAGATTGTGCAAGACTGTGCTTTCCCTTCTGTCTTTTCTGAATATTACTGATACTACTGAACCCAAATATACTTACTTGCTCTCTGAAAAGTAGGGCCCCCAAAAGTGCTTGTTTAAAAAAAAAACAGGGGGGGGGCTGGAGTGATAGCACAGCGGGCAGGGCGTTTGTTTGCCTTGCACACGGCCGACCCGGGTTCGATTCCCAGCATCCCATATGGTCCCCTGAGCACTGCCAGGAGTAATTCCTGAGTGCAGAGCCAGGAGTAACCCCTGTGCCTTGCCAGGTGTGACCCAAAAAGCAAAAAAAAAAAAAAATTAGATAAATAAATAAATAAAAAACAGGGAAGGGCTGGAGTGATAGATAGCACAACAGGGAGGGCGTTTGCCTTGCACACAGCTGACCCAGGTTCAATTCCCAGCATCCAGTATGGTCCAAGCACCACCAGGAGTAACCCCTGAGCATTGCCCAGTAAGACCCAAAAAGTAAAAAAAAAAGGGGGGGATGAGGAGAGAAGTGATAGTTCATCGAGTAGGACATTTACCTTGCATCCTGTATGGTCCCCCAGAGTCTTGCCAGGAGTGATTCCTGAGCACTACAGAGTGTGGACCCCCTTCCCCCAAAAAAGTATTTTACAAGTGCCATTCCTAGTGATGCTTACACCCCGTAACCAGGGTCACACTCAGCAGTGCTGGGAGAGGGAATGTGGTGCAGGAAACTGAACTCATGCCCCTCCTGAGGGCTCAATCCTGGTGGGACTTGGGGGGAACAAAAGGGGCGCTGGCGACTGAACCCACATCAGCCGTATGCAAGGCAAACAGGAAATATCACTCCATTATTCTTAACATTTCACTTTTCCCCCCAACATTAAAGACTACCTCACATTTAACATATTCATGATTTGTCTTCCCAACTAAGGTATGTTCTGTAACGGCAGAGATTATAAGTATTTTGTTCACAGACATGTTCTCAGTATCTGGTAAAATATCGGTTACAAAAAATTGTATAATTGTTATAAGAACCCCCTAATAATAAAACTGTTTCATTCTAAAATGCTGACTTAACTGCATATATGTGAGGAAACTTATAAGTACCATGTAATTCCCAGTGTAGACAGAGTTGGGGAGGGGTCTAAGGATCAGCAGCTTATGTGGAGAGATGGGAGAGTGAGGTCAAAAATAGTTGGGGAGGGGCTGGAGAGACAGCACAGTGGGTAGGGCATTTGCCTTGCAGGCACCCAGGTTCAATTCCTAGCATCCCATATGGTCCCCCGAGCACCTCCAGGAGTAACCCCTGTGCATCACCAGGTGTGATCCAAAAAGCAAGAAAAAAAAATAGTTGGGGAGGCACAGAGCAACAGTAGAGCAGGTGAAACACTTGCCTTCCTTAGGCTGACCCAAGTTAAATCCCTGGCACCACATGTGATACCCTGGTTCCTGGCCAGGAATGATCCTGAGCAAAGAGGCAAGAGCAAGCTCTGAGCACAGACAGGAGGAACCCCAAAACTATAAAGAAAAACAAAGCAAAATGTTTTATTAAATGCATTTCAGGAATGAAATACTGTCAGGAAAATTTCTCTAGAGTAAACTAGGATCCAGAAAGATAGTACACTGGGTACGGTGCTTGTGGCCAAATGTAGAACCCTCAAGGAAAGTTTTAATCCCCTGCATACCAAATGGTCCCCTAAGCCCACCTAGGGTAACTCCTGAGCACAGAACCAGGAGAGGCATAACTCTTGAGCACTAATGCATGTGGCCCCAAAACAAAACAAGAAAAGTAAACTTAACGTGGGGCTGGGGGATAGTTCAAAGGATTGGAGTTTGATCCTGGGACTGCATGGTCCCTGGGCAAGGAGCAGCACCCCCTTACCTACCCGAGGATCAAGCATTCTGGTGCTGGGAGTAGCTCTTAAGCACCACTGTGTTAAGAAAAAAAAGGTTAACTAAATTTATCTGTCCTTTTTATGTTTAAAATTTTTACTACAGTGAATTCAATTCATTTCGGATGTGTTGAATTACTATTACTTTCTTCCTTGATAAAACTTTGAAATTTTTCCCTCCTCCCTAAATTACTGACTGCAATATACAAACCCTGGGATCCAAAGAGTCTCCCATTTCTATTTTGAGATTCGCCTGGGTCACAAGGTAGTTTTGGCCAATTGCTCTGCTCAATCTCTCAGTTTACTGAGGCTCCCTCGGAACTTGTACTGTCAGCCAAACAGGAAGAGGGCTATCCTGCCCAACTCCAAAAAAGCCTAAGTCATATGGATTTGGTAAGGTTTTAACGATGCTATAAATCATTGCAAATGTAATTTCCCACAGGGGCTGGAAAAGCAAACCTTTGACTTTATAAATTTAGGGATGAAAGACAGGACGGGCTATTACAATACAGATAAGCAAAGGAGCCTCATGTTTGCATAAAATGTGTTTTCAATCTGCTGTATTCCTAACATATGTATCAACGCCAAACCCCAGATGTAAGCAAAGAAATGTGACAAATAAATCTGACCTTGGCAAAACTATACTATTTTTTTAAAGTGTTCAGAAGCCTGTATAAACCACAAAGGACGACCACCCCGACCCGCCCTCTCCCCACCCACTTCAGCAAGAATATAAGGATATCCCACCTCAAACCCACGTGGCCATGAATTGTTACTGATTGGGTCTCCTAAATTGTACCTTAGCCCTAACCATACCCTTCCCCCAACGATGATGCATCTTGACAGAATTACTCCTATACTCACAGAAATGTCCACATAAGAGATGAAAAGCCCCTGGGAAGCAGCCAGTGCTGGTCTCACATCGATCCGCGGCTAGGCACAACCTGAACTTCTCTTCACTTGGCCAAGTTCCTCTCCTGGCTCGGGGTTAGCGTTCTTGCATGGCATAGGAGGCTTAGGACCCAGGGGGCGCCTTTCAGCCGAAAGGAGGAAAAAAAAAAAACCACCAACACAACACTTAGCTGCAGGGAAGCTCCCAGTTCTAGAGAGGCTGTTTACCAGATCATAACAAGGGCAGGTCTGACTTCCAGAAAGGGACTGGGAGGCGGCGCTGGCGCCAACAGGACCCCAGCTGCACACGGGTTGGTCCAGCACCTGCAAGACTCAGGAGGCGAGGATGCTGTGGTCCTGGGCGCAAACATTCCTTGTCAGCAACATGCTCCTCGCTGAAGCCTATGGATCTGGAGGTGAGATCACAGTCTTTCCTTTCTGCAGCAACTTCATGAAGCAGAAGGCTCAGACTCCCCATTTCCCAGGCCTTGGTCTGCTTAGGTGGGATGACGCCAGGAAATGAAGCCTTGCTCGCTTTCTGTTGTCCCAGGAAAGATTTGATTTTTTTTTCTTTTCCTTTCCCTGCCAGGGGGCTGGCAGCTCCATCTTTGCCATTAAGAACAAAGGCCAGCAGCCACTTTCTCTGTCTTTTCCTCGCCGAGTGGATCGAAACTTGGAGGGGGGTTCATCTCCCTTTCTCCCTCCGGCCCGTTCGGCTTGTTAAAGGGGCTTCGCCTGCACGGAGCAGCCCCCCCAGCACGGGCGCTCCCTCCCCGCCTTCCTGCGGAGGGGCGAGGGAGCTGGGGGCGTGCAGGCGGGGCTGAGACGGGTCCCTCGGCGTGAGGCGCTTCAGGAGCCGGGGTCCGGGGAGAGAGGAAGGGTGTTGTCGGTGGCGGTGGCGCCAGATCCGCGGAGCCGGGAACACCGGAGTTTTATGTAACACCGGCTCGATGACCCGGGGCTTCATTCCAGGGCCGGCCCCAAACTCCCGACGCCCCCCATCGCCCCCCGCCCCGCACTCCGTTCTTGGGCTGTCTCGCATCGGCTCGGAGTTCCACAAGCGCTTTCTCGCTGCTCTGTGGGGTCATCGAGCAAGTGTGTGTGTTGGGGGGGGGGTCCTTCTCCCCAGGACGGAGACAGAGAGTCCCCCGGCTCAGCAGAGGCACTTCCAGGGCGGACTCGGGCTCCTCTGCCCAACCAACACTCAGACTTGGGGCGGGGGGATGCTCCTTTGCTCCACAGGCTGCTTCCAGGACAACGGCCACCTGTACCGGGCAGACCAGTCCTCAGCGGCGTCGGGCCTTCGCTGCCTCAACTGGCTGGACGCACTGAGCAGCCTGGCGTCGGCCCCCAAGACGGGTGAGCATCCGCCTCGGGGCAGCGGGTGACCGGGACCCCCTTCGGTCCTGGCCCGGACACCCCCGGCCCATAACGCTCTCTTCCTCCTTCCCAGGTGCCGGCAACCACAGTTACTGCCGGAACCCAGACCAGGACCCGCGCGGGCCCTGGTGCTACGTCCGCGGTGAGGCCGGGGCTCCCGAAAAGCGGCCCTGCGAGGACCTGCGCTGCCCAGGTACCCACCGGCCCGCTTCCGGCCGCGACCAGCCGCGGGGTCTGGGACCGGCGCCGCGCACGTGTGGCCGCGCGCCGTAGGCCGGCCCCGTTCCGCCCCCCGCGCCGTCCGATTGGTCGAAGCTGTCTCCAGGCCGCGGATCTCAAAGCCCATTGGCCGTCGCCGCCACTCGGAGTGAGCTCATCCTCCGCGAGCCGCTTGTAAACAAGCGTGGGCGGCGAGGCCGGGCGTTTCTCCGCCGAGCGCTCGGCGGGCTCCGGGACCCGGTGGGACCGCTTGGGACCGAGGTCCCAGACCGGGGCCTTTAGAGAGAGTCAGTTTGCTGACCGTTCGTCTGGGCGTCTGTGGCGTGCTAGGCCCCTATAGGCCTTCTCTACACATTTGCTTGTCCCAGTTGTGGTGCAGCCTCACCCGCCCCCCCCTCCCCCCCCGGGATAGTTGGGTTTCAGTGTGGTGGGAGCCCTGCCAGCAGTCATCCCTTTTCCCCGACGCTTAGTCAGGTTCATTTGTGAAATGCTTCTAGACCAGTTTATTTTCCCTTTCTTTTGGCATTGGGCCACACCCAGTACTTAGGGCTTACTCCAGGGATCACACTTGGCTTTACCCAGAGAACATAACATGGAGCTCGGAATCAAAAACCTGGGTTAGCTGCGTGTAAGGGCAGTGCCTTTACCCGAGATCCTATCTCTCCAGTCCTAGGCCAGTTTTGTTTTGTTTTTGTTTTTGGTTAAGAATCAGCAGTTATTGGAGTCGGAGAGATAGCACTGTGGGGAAGGCGCCTTGCCATGCAGCCTATCTGGGTTTGATTTCCCAGAGCCCACCAGGAGTGATCCCTGAGCATCGCTGGGTGTGGCCCCAAAACAAAACAAAAGCAGGTTAGGTGTTTGCCCTGCACAAGGCAGACCCAGGTCCCATCCTGCACCACATAAGGTCCCCTGCGCCCGCCAGGAGTGATTCCGGAGTGCAGAGCCAGGAGTAAGTCCTGAGCACTGCTGGGTGTGGCTCCCAAACAAAACAAAAACAAGTATCCCAGGAGAATCAGGGTTTTTTGTAGAAGGGTAAGATGGTGCTGGGGTAGGAAACAGGGATTCAGGGTGCGGGCACAGCTCTGAGGTTCTCAGGGGTGCCATTTATGGAAGTCAGAGAGCTAGGACAGTGGGCAGGGCTACTAGTCTTGCAAGCAGCTGACCTGGTTTGTTCCCCAGCACCCTGTATGGTCTCTTGAGCCCTGCCAGCAGTAATCACTAAGCATTGCCCAGTGTGGCCCTCCAAAAAAAGTGCCCTTTGTCCAGAGGCCCATAAATCAGGATGTGTTTGACCCCAGAGGCATTTGGGATGAGCCACTTATTAAACACGGTTAAGTCCCACTTCTTGGAGATGCAGATTTTCTGGCAGCCAGGAAACTTGAACTTGGCCAGGTGCAGAACTTAAACAGTTGCAGAATCTCAGTCACATGCTCCTTGTTCTGCATTTTGATGCCAATGGACATGATGATTTAGCCACCGTGGACTCTGGCCATTGTGCCCTGGGGCTTTCCAAAGGCACCCCACATACCTGTCTGGAGACTGAGATTGGGGCTAGCTTGAAAGCAGAAAGGAATGTCCACTGTAAAGGGCTGTCTCCAAGGACCCTTAGAACAGCCCGTGCAAGCCAGAGTCCGCTTGTTGTTTGCAACCCTGGGTCCCATGGGGCAGAGAGCTCCAGGCTAGTTTCTGATGAGACCTGCTTCCCTCCCACTTTACCTCCAGAGACTTCTTCTCAGTCCCTGCCAGCCTCCAGAACTGACTCTGAAGTGACATCTGAAGTACCAGGGGAAGACGAAGTACAGGTGTTTGCGCCTGCCAACGCCTTGCCTGCCCGGAGTGAAGCAGCAGCTGTTCAGCCAGTTATTGGGATTAGCCAGCGTGTGCGGGTGAATCCCAAGGAGAAGAAAGACCTGGGAACCCTGGGTATGACTGCCTCACCTTTCTCCTTTTGTGATATCAAGGGATATCCTTGGGGTTGAGCGATAGAACAGTGGGTAGGGTGTTTGCTTTGCATGCAGCCAACCTCTGGTCAATCCCCGGCATCCCATATGGTCCCCTGAGCACTGCCAGGAGTAATTCCTGAGTGCAAAGCTAGAGGAAGCCGTGGGCATCACTGGGTGTGACCCCCAAACAAAACAACAACAAAGAGATGTCATTTGCTGATCTACGGAGGTGAGGCTAATGGAATTTATCTCCTGTCCTTGGCAGGCAACGTTCTGGGCATTACCATGATAGTGATCATCATAGCCATCGGAGTTGGCATTGTCTTGGGCTACACCTACAAGAGGTCAGTAGTTTCTCTTTTGGACTCTCATGAGAAGACAAGAGGAAGGGGCACAAGGTCAAAATCTGACTCCTTTGTGACCCTTCTATCCAAAAAATGGAATGGGGATAGATATTGAAAGACTACACGATGCAGAGACTTGGTTCTGTTGTTCACTGTGTGGATAAATCTTTTCTTTCGGTGCCTTATTTATTCACCCAGAAGCCTGAGGAGGTAGGCTTTGTTTCCAGTTTTACAGACAAGAGGCCTTTACGAGAGAAGTGACTGGTTCAAAGTTATAGTACCCAGATTGAAAGATAGTACAGAGAGTAGGGTGTTTGCCTTGCATGTGGTTGACCTTGATTTGATCCCTGGCACTGCATATGGTCCCCGCGCACCACTAGGGACATCCCTGAGCACAGATCCAAGAGTAGGCCTGGCGTACAGCCGGGTGTGGCCCTAATACATCCTCCAAAAAAAAAAAAGTTATGTTACCTGAGAGTAGCAGAACCTGGAGTCAAACCTTGTTCACTTTTGTTTTTATTTTGGGGTTACAGCCAGCAGTGCTCAGGGGCTGCTTTTTGGCTCTGGGATCAGGAATCATTCCTGGTGGTGCTTGGGGGAACATAATGTGGTACAGGGATCGAATGGAGTCCACTGCATGCAAGCAAAACACCTTAAATCTTGTATGATCTCTCTGGCCCCTCAGACCCAGTTCTTTTGTTTTGTTTTGTGGCCACACCCTGCAGTGCTCAGGGGTTACTCCTGGCGGGTGCTTGAAGAACCATAGGGGATCGAACCCAGGTGAACTGGATGCAAGGCAAATATCTAACCCACTGTACTATCGCTCTGGCCCCAGACTCATTTCTTATGATACGAGATTTCCTCTATCTAATCTAGCTTTCCCGGTATGGGGAAATCAGACTGGGCAACCTGAATGGCTGAATATTTTCTGAGAGTTACGAAAGTCTGACCATAGAAAAGCTCCAGGCCACTGTTTCTGCATTAGGACTTGAATTTCCTGAGCTGTACATAACAAGATCTTCTCTAGGACGGGAGAAGTGGGTAGAGTGAGCTGGTGGCCAGAGAGGTGGCACTTCTCACCAAGCGAAAGAAAGTGGCAGAGGCTACCTGGGAAACTCAAGGCCATAACCAATGGCTTTGGGCCAGAGGAGGAAAAATGTTTATTTGAGTGACTTCCTGAGATAGCATGTGGAAAAGTTTCTCAAAATAAAGACAAGGGATGTCCAGCCAAGGTCGCATTCATTCTCACAGCAGTGGCTGACTCGGAGAAATTTATTTGCTGTTCTTGAACAAGATCAGGAGATTTGCGTCCAGCCCTGAGTATATATGCTAGTTCTCTTCGACATACGACGTTTCCGTGAAGGAAGTGACATGGTGGCTTATTTTCTAGTGTTTAAGCCCATAATCCTGTTGTATCACTATTACATTACCTGGGGGTGGTAAAAATAGAGTATGAGGAAGTGATGTGATAGCCCACCTATAATTCGAAGTAAGATCTCAATGATGCTGACTGATTTTAACCCTTGAACTATTTCCTCTTTCCTTAATCACTGGATATCATTTGGCTCTCCTTCAATCTTGAGACAATTTATAGGTCTTCAGATTTTGGGGCTTTTGTTATTGTTTGTTTGGCCATACTTGACAGTGCTCAGGGATCACTCCTAGCTCTGTGCTCAGGGATCACTCCTGGTGGGGTTCTTGGGGTGCTGAAGATCTAACCCAGGATGGCTACGTGCAAAGTGATTGCTCTGTTGTACCCACTGTACTATTTCTCCAGCCTCTGCCTCCGGGTTTTTGAAATTCTGAGCTTAGTGCAGAAGCCCAGAAAGGAAATCAGGTCTTTGCTTTTATATCTGCTCCTCTTGATTAATGTAGGTTTGCAGTAAGGCCTAGAGTTTACTTTTCTATCAACTTAAGTCAAGATACTAACTCCCCATCATCATCACTAAACCACGGGACCAGCCCTTTCCTCTGGCGAAGTACTCTGAGAACAAACTGTACAACAGGAAACCACATGTGGGCTAGAGGCAAGCTCTTAGCTTCTCTTGAGTTAGAACAGTGTTTTATGAAAGACAGTTAAACAAAGGTTTTGCCACTCTTCTGCATTTCAGTTTATTAAGTGGGGCTATCTCTGTGTTACATGTAGACAGTAGAATTATTAATTACATTAAATAACTTACAGTTGCCCCTCAACAGATATTCTATGCTCTCTTGGTCAGACCCTACTCTAATAATTTTGCATTTTCTACTCTAATAATCTTACACTAACCTTAGAAGGAACTTTATTTTTTTTGCATGGGGGTGATGGTGGGGGGAGTTGGGAGGCTCCCAAAGAATGCTCAGGATGCATCTGCAGCACTGCCTGATACTCAGGGAGTTATGCAGTGACTGGGGATCAAACTTAGGGGTGTGCATCTCTGACACCCACTTAGAGCAGCACTTTTTATTTTATATTATTTATTTATTTGCTTTTTGGGTCACACCCGGCGATGCTCAGGGGTTACTCCTGGGTCTTCACTCAGAAATTACTTCTGGCAGTGCTCAGGGGACCATATGGGATGCTGGGAATCTAACCCGGGTCGGCCGCGTGCAAGGCAAATGCCCTACCCGCTGTGCTATCTCCCCTCCAGCCCCACTTTCATACCATTTTAAATGAGGTAGGGAGCTGAAACCTTGTGTAGTTAGGTGCCATGTCCAAGCTGCACAGCTAGTAAGATATGTCTAGAAGTATTAGTAGTTCCCCCAGAGTCCAGTGAGTTCTTTTCGTTTCATGGAATAGTTTTCCATTGCAAAGGAAAATAGAAGGTTGAACAAAAATCGTTGGTTTTAGAAGTCAAGAGAAGTCACGATCCACTTCTGAAACACCCAAGTCAGGATGTGACACCAGGCAAGTCATTTTACCTCAGACAGAACTTCCCCATCAGTGAGACAGTGTGAGGTAGGATGAGATACGATGATCCTCCCAGCTCTAACGGTCTCCTTGTCTGTATTGACTGCTACAGCTTAGAGACAGGCCTGGGTTTAAATCCTAGCTCTGTTTACCTGAACATAAGACTTAACCCCTCTGCCTCTCCCTCCCCATCTCAGAAGCCTTGCTCCTCCTGAGAGGCCGTTGAGTTTGCTGTGAGGTGAGAGGAGCGGGCATTCGGTTGGTGTTCAGAAACTCAGCAGCCCTGAGTCACTTTTCCTCTCCCCTACTACAGCTTTGCTCCGACGAAGAAAATGCAGTGGTTCACAGCGATGCAAGTTTTAGAAATAATTTGGTTTTTTTGTTTGCTTGTTTGTATTTTGCTTTTTGGGGTCTCACCCAGCGATGCACAGGGGTTACTCCTGGCTTTGCACTCAGGAATTACTCCCGGTGGTGCTTGGGGGACCATATGGGATGCCAGGGATTAAACCCAGGCCAGCCGCGTGCAAGGCAAACGCCCTACCCACTGTGCTACTGCTCCGGCCCTTTAGAAATGATTTGGAGAGCCCCGTGTTGCCTGCTAGAAATCTGCTATGCCTCCTGGCACCCCAGAGGGGGTGGCAGAGGCCCAGAGCCACTCCATCCACTCCTGCCCACTCTGGTTGGCCCCACACCTCTCCAGAGCAGTCAGGGATAGAGTTGCTGCTACTAGCCTCGAACTCTACCAGAGGCCTAATGGGATGGAGCTTCTCCCAGGCTGGACAGGCTGGCAGGCACTGGGCTTCGTCTCTGGGGATAAAGGCGCAGGCCTTTGTCTTGGTATGTCTTGGCCATGAGTTTCAGATAGTCAGTCTGCATGCACGTGGCCAGTGGCTGCTCCCTGTCCCTTTGTCAGCTCCAAGCAGGTGTGCACTAGCTCCAGAGGGAATGCTTCTTTTCGGATAAAAGGTAAGGGAAAAGCCGTAAGTCAACACCCCTCCACCAACTCAGGAGAGGCTCTGAGTCAGTGAATAAGCCTTTTGTCTTTCTTGGCTGCTGGACAACAGCTTGGCTGCCTTTAGCCCTACTCCAAAGGCAGTGAGAAGGGCTGGGTGACCAGGTGGTCAGCGCAGCAGGTCCAGGGGGGCCTCTCTTAGGTCTTCTTGAGAGCTGGGGACAGCTGCTGCCTTGCCAGGACTCACAAACGCTGTTAATTAGCATGCATGCCTGTTTTGAAGCTTCTAAATGAATGAGTCTATAATCCAGACAAGTCCCAGCACCTGCTTTCTTTATTCTTGACTGCTCTTAGCCCTGCTCTTCCCGATTAATAGAAATTGATTTTTTTTCCCCTTAAAGACTTTTGTTTGATGCAGCCTGATCACAGCCAGATGCCTAGTCAAGGAGGTTGGTGAGATGGGGCCAGAGCGATAGTACAGTGGGGAGGGTGCTTGCTTGCACACAGCCAACCTGGGTTTGAACCCTGGCATTCCGTTCAAACGCGTCCCCAGAATCCTGCCAGGAGTGATTCCTGAGTGCAGAGCCAGGAGTAAGCGCTAAGCACCACCAGGTATGCCCGCCCCCCCCCAAACAAAACAAAACAAAACATGGGGGCCGGATCCATAGTATAGCAGGTAGGGTGTTTGCCTTAGACATGGTTGACCTGGGATCAATCCCCAGAATTCCTTAGGGTCCTGAGTTCCACTAGGAATGATCCGTGAGCATAGAGCTGAGTCAGCCCTGAGCAGAGCCCCAAAGCAAGCAAAGCAAAACAAAACAAAAGAGGCTGGTGTGGGAAGCCTGACTTTGGAATCAAAGCAGATCTTCTGCTATGTGAGGATGTCAGCTTGTAGAGTTGGTGTAAAAAGTAAAGAACATGATAAGTGCATGGCATACAGCAGGACTCAGGTAGCTCTTCACGTTTCGGAGAATGAATGGGAAAACCATCCCTGGAACCTTTGCAGTGTTAGGGAAAGCCCCCAAAATAAAGATTGAAGCCCAAGGCGGGTGGAAGAGAAAGGAGTTTACTGGTGCGGACCAAGAGTTCAGGTCACCCTGGCAACTCTCGGCTGGGACAAAGGATCCACTCTGCTTTTATGTGTTCAGGTGTGGAAGCAAGCAGCCAGATTTGTACAAGCTAATGTGCAGTTAGGCTGCTGAGGTTATGAAGAACAAAGGATTTTGCATTGAACTAACTGTTCTGTCCCAGCTGTCTCGCTCTGGTGGTATGGGCCTCTCTGCACACACAATCCATCACCACCCTCCTTCACAACCCCCCAAACCCATACATTTCCCTCACAGTAGGTTCTCTGAGTGTTGAGTTCTTACCAGGCCCTTACAGTTTTGAAATTCAGGCCTTGGCAAAGTCACTTGCTTGCTCCTCCGATTCTTCCGCAGATCGCCTTTTGGCCATCTTTTGATTTGGGGCTTCCTTAAGAAGATTAAAACCAGCCCTGACAAATTTTTCTTGACATAGACCGCTCTGGTGTCTAGTTTTGGGGGACTGGGATGATAGCTCAAAGGGCTGAAGTGCATACCTTGCATGAGTGAGACCCTGAGCTTGCTCCCTGGCATAATATACCACCCTGTCCCACCAGCACTGCTAAGTATAGCCCTGGGGCCCTTGAGCTCTCAGCCCACACAGGTTACTGCCAAAATGCCCCCTGAGCATTTTGGGAGCACTCCCACTCCAAAAAATAACCTGTTGTCTTATGGAAGCAGACTTTTCCCCTCCATGTTGCAGCGGCTGTAATAAATGAGTAGTACCCAAGGGTAAAGTGAATCAGATTGTGAGCGTGGATGCACTTGATCAGACAACAGCTCCTCGTGGGCCTCCCCTTTCTTTTCTGGGTGGGTGCTTCGGGATCATTGAGCTGCAGGAGTTGGTGTTCAGTGCAGATGCTAGAGAGGTGGCGAGGGTGACTCCGGGAGACGAGCTCACAAATGTGCCCCCCCTCTCATTAAAGTGAGCACCTCTCATGAAAAGGGATCTTTGAGAATGTTAGGGCCTCAGGGTTTTTTTTTTCTTTTTGGGTCACACCCGGCAAGGCACCCTGGCTCTGCACTTAGGAATTACTCCTGACAGTGCTCAGGGGACCATATGGGATGCTGGGAATCGAACCCGGGTCGGCTGGTGCAAGGCAAACGCCCTACCTGCTGTGCTATCGCTCCAGCCCCAGGCCTCAGGATTATTAAGTCAACTTCTTGTTTACAGATGATGAAACTAAAGCCCAGAGAGGAGGGGAGTTGCTGAGGTCATGTAAACAATACTTGTCTTGGCTGGTCAGTGGGAGAATTTCTGGGTTTTGTTTGTTTTGGGGCCACACCCAGGGGTACTCAGAGGACCACGTGGTGCCAGGGGTCATGCCAAGGCTTCTTGCATAGAAAGCAGGTGCTCAGTCCATGACCTTTTTTTTCTCCCTGACCCCTCCAGGAGAGTTTAATTGGGAAATCAAATTAAGATAAAGTTAATTGGTGAGACCAACCCGTATTCAGAGCAAATCACCATAATCCTGTGTTTTAGTTTTTTCAAAATGCTTTCACATTCACCGTCTTTGTTTTGTTGTTTTTGTGTCACACCTAGGAATGCTCAAGGGTTACTCCTGGCTCAGCACTCAGAAATTACTGCTGGCATTACACAGGGAACCGTATGGAATGCTGGGCATTGAACCTGGGTAGGCCGCATACAAGGCAAACACCCTACGTGCTGTACTATCTCTCCGACCCCTCATTTTATTTTGAGGGAGTATTATCCTCAATTCACAGATGAAGTCAAGGTTATGTTTTGCAAAGCGTCATGGAACTAAGGCTAAGCTGGCACCAGGACATAAGAGGAACTGAATTAGACGTGGTGCTTGAATTAGATGTGGTGCTGGGGACTGAACCAGAGTTGGCCGCATACAGTACAAGCACTTTCACCCATGTCCTATCTCTCTAGCCCCTAAAGACTGGTTTTGAGGCATTGTACAAACTTCCTGCCTCCAGAGTCTGCTGTTTTCTCAGTATTCTTTTCTGGTCTCTGAGAGCTTCTGTTATTGTTCTTCATGTCATGAAGGATGTGTGATCTGTATGATCTCAGCCATCTCCCCCGGGGCTGGCTGAAGCAGTGCCATTGGTATCATGAAGTCATCCAACTGCCCTCTGTGGAGTGCGGAGGCGGGGCGCTCCCAGCTGTGCTCAGGGTTTACTCCTGGCTCTGTGCTTAGGAATCATCCCTAGCAGGCTTGGGGACCACATACAGGCAAGTGTCCTACCCGCTGTCTTATCTCTCTGCCCACTCCCCACTACTCTCCTGCCAGCTGCCTGTTTCAAGGCCTCTTTGGGGTAGTCTTCTCCCTGGAAGATTGGCTTTTCAGTTGGGGACTGACCCAAGACCTTACATATGCAAAAATACAGCCTACTGCTCTGCCTCATCCCTGGCCCTGTGGAAGATTTCTGACAGCTCAGCCCACGTATCTAGTTGTTGGCTTCAGAGAATACTGATCTAGGTCCTGGTTGCCAGTTCTGATATGCAGTGTGTTGGGCATTTACCAAACCCTTTAGCCTGTAATAGAGGTGGACTAGTCTTGTGGGAAAAAACCTATACAAGCAGCCAAACATTGGTTTAAGTCACGTCTTTTTTTTTTTTTTTTTGGCATTTTTGGGTAACACCCGGCAATGCTCAGGATTTACTCCTGGCTCTGCACTCAGGAATTACTCCTGGCGGTACATGGGGGACCATATGGGATACTGGGAATCGAACCCGGGTTGGCCGCGTGCAAGGCAAACGCCCTACCCGCTGTGCGGGTTACATTTCTTTGGGGTTACCCCCATCAAGTCAGAATTTCCTTTATTATTAGCCAGTGTCCAGTAGCCTTTGGTTGTAGACTGACATATCCTTGGCAAGTTCCTGAACTTTTCTGGGTCATTTCCTAATTATGAAATCAGTGAAGAACCCAGAGAAATAGAACAGGGGTTAAGGTGCTTGCCTTGGCTGACCGTGGCTGGCTCGTTGGATCCCTGCCACTGCATATGATCTCCTGACACAACCAGGAGTGATTCCTGAGTATAAAACTGGAGTGGCCCCTATGTACCTATGTGGCCTAACCCCATCCCCTGTGCCTTCCCCCGAAAAATGATAGCACCTCATTGTTAAGACTGGACTGAGAATGAAGTGAGATAATGGCGCATCAAGTCCTTAACATGCAGTGAGTGCGCCACGTGAGAATCTCTGAAGAGCTCACTGTCCTTTTGCTCCTTGCATGAATTGGGAGATCAGTGGTTTCTAACCAGGCATTCTACTTTTTGGGACTTCTGCATAGATAGTTCAGACAAATTTATGGGTTAGTACTGTTACATAGTCTCCTGGGTATCTTGAAACCCTGGAGAGAAAAAAAAGTGGTATCTTGTTTTAGAGTCTTTTTCCTGGAGGCAGGTATGTAGTTCAGTGGTAGAGCACGTATCTGGGATGTGTGAGGCATTGGATTCAAAACAGACAGACACACACACACACACACACACACACACACACACACACACACACACACGGCTTTGCTCTGTGCTATCATGTTTCCCAAAGTGGGCAATACTGCCCACTCCCATGGAGTGCTGCAATAATACGGGAGGAAGGGGAGGTGCTGTAGCCACCTCAGGTGCAAGTGTGGGGAGATGCTTTGTTTCCTTAAAGGTAGATTTTCAGGGATGCTCTGAGTTTTTATTTTCAGAGGGGGGTGGTAGGCCAGATAAGTTTGGGAACGTCTACTCTATCATCTTCATTGCATCCTGCTGTAGTGGTGAGAGGTTCATATTACAATCACCCCATTTACAGATGAGAATGCAGAGGCCAGAAGTCCAGGGGGCACTTGTTAAATTAAGGCAGTCAGGCCAAATGGTAATCAAATGTATCAGCTATTGATGTGTTGTGACCATGATCAGCCCACCCATCTGGATTTCAGGGATGGTATCTAACAAAGTCATGGAGGAGGCACAGGCTGAATGCTGGTTTTTTTCTTCGGGGGTGGGGGGGCTTGTGGGGGAGTATCCGTCTGATGGTGCTCAGGGGCTACTTCTGACTTGGTACTGGGGGTCACTCCCAGTGATGCTCGGAAGACCCTGCACTGCCAGAGATGGAACCTGGGACTCCTGCACACAAAGCATGCACTGCAGCTCTTTGCAGCATCTCCCTGCTCTGAATATGTCCTTCTTCTCCCGCCAGGGGGAAGGACCTGAAAGAACAGCACGAGCAGAAAGTATGCGAGCGGGAGATGCAGCGAATCACCTTGCCCCTGTCTGCCTTTTCCAACCCCACCTGTGAGATCGTGGATGAGAAGACAGTCGTGGTCCACAGCAACCAGACTCCAGTGGACCAACTTCAGGAGGGCAGCGCTCCCCTGATGGGCCAGGCAGGCACCCCGGGGGCCTGAGCCCCTCCAGAGTGGGCAGGAGCCCAGGTAGACACCAGCGCAGGCCAGCTTGCCACATCCTACAGCTGGGAGGATATATACTTTGTGTTGTGGTGAAAGCCCTCCCCATCTCTCCCCCCGCCCCCTCTCGTATGACTTCCAAGACACAGACAGGTGTCACTGTGGGCTGAGGGTGACACAGGTGCACCTCCCAGTGCACCTTCTCCATTTCTTAGAGCAGTATTTTGCCTGCGGATGGAAACAGCGGCAGCCTCACAGCAAGCTGTGCTGCTGACAAGGGCTTCCAAACACAGCCTGTGCTTGGGGTGGGCAGGGGGCTCCTCCGGACTCCTCTCTGCTTTCTTCCCCAAGATGGTCTCAGTGTCCGCCTTTCTGTTTAACTCCATACACTTGAGTGGCGCATGCTGTTATTCCTAGTTCAGGTCAAGAGGGGCATTTCAAAGTATAGATTTAGTTTTTTTTTTTTTAATATTTGGGATGGAACTCCCCACTGACCTCTGAGAACCGGAAATAAGTCTGGACAAAAGTGAAAGCTCTGGGCCGAAGGGATCTAGGCTAGGGGCTGCTGGGAGTGCGGCCAGCTTGTTGGCGGTGATGTGCCTTGACAACTTTGTGCTGGGCACGGGTCCAGGGCCCAGGGCCTTTTCCTGTTTTGAAAGGAAAGGAAGAGAAGAATTGCACTTAACGTTCCACTTAGGAGCACCCAACTGCCTTAGGCCCAGGAGCTGAGGTGGCCCAGGCGGTGTCTGCATTTTGCAGGGGTTAAGAAGTAACCTATGGAAAAGGGACTGTGGGGAGCAGGGGGCTTGCAAGCTATTTCTGAGATGTTAATCTGGACCTACACTGGGAGGCAGAGTGAAGAGCCCCAGGGCCGGTTCCTAGAGTGGCCTGAGCTTGCAGGTGCCCTGTAGCTTCCTGGCCAGGCCAGTGCCTTCCAGTGGGGCAGTGGGGTGAAAGCCATAACCTATGACTTGTTCAAGTCAGAATCACTGGGGGGAGTGGGCTTCGGAGCAAATGACCCCCACAGGCCCAGAGGGGGAAAGTGACACATAAGGTCATAGAGCTCCATCATTTTGTGCCACACTGTGCCAGTGGCTGAGCAGAGCTGCTAAGCCTGGAGAGCACCGGGAGCCTTAGCCATGCTCCCCATCCACAGTTTCCTTCCTTCGCCCCTCAGGGAGAGGTGGGAGAGTGGGCTCATTCTCGTCAGCGGCTGTTCAGTAGAGTGGTTTGCTAAGGGAACCTAGGCCTCAGAGGTCCCTGACCTTAGAGATGCCGAAGAAGAAAACATTACTGATTTTTACTTTTCTATAAAAGCATTTCTCTGTATACATGTTTTATATACCTCATTCTGACACCTGCATATAAGTGCAGGAAATTGCTCTGCATTCGACTTCTATTAAAAAAAAAATCCAAACAACGTCACACTGTTTTTTTTTTTGTTGTTGTTGTTTTGTTTTTTGTGGGGGCCAGGACACTTCCTATAAACCAAGAAGCTTTGGTTACTTCATCAGCACCCATGTGGTGAACTCAGGTTTTCTCCTTCACCCTACGTAATTAGGTTTTAATAAGAACTGTTTGGGGGGCTGAAGCTATAGTACAGTGGGGAGGGCATTTGCCTTGCACGTGGCCAACTGGGGTTGGGTCCCCAGCGTCTCATAATGGTCCTTCGCCAGGAGTAATTCCTGAGTGCAGAGCCGGGAGTAACACCTGTGCATTGTTGGGTATGACCCCCCCCCCAAAAAAAAAAACAAGAATTGTTTGATATGGTGAGGCAATAAATGGGGGGGAAATGCTATAGATAAAAACGTCAGGAGAGGGCTGGAGCAACAGCACAGCGGGTATGGCGTTTGCCTTGCACGTGGCCAACCCGGGTTCGATTCCCAGCATCCCATATCACTGCCAGGGGTAATTCCTGAGTGCAGAGCCAGGAGTAACCCCTGAGCATCACCGGGTGTGACCCAAAACGCCAAAACAAACAAAAAAGTCAGGAGATAATTGTAGCTGGTGACAAGGTACAGTTAAAATCAAAGAAATGGAAAGACAAAGTAGTTGTGTTTGGATGGAGAGTTTTGAAAGCATGATTACATGTTTTTGTTGTTATTTCTTTGTTTTTGGGCCATATCCAGTCGTACTCAGGGTTTACTTCTGGTTCTGAGCTCAGGGATCATTCCCGATGGGCTCAGGGGACCAAAAAGGGTGACGGGGATTGAACCCAGGCCGGCTGCCAGCAAGGAAAACATTCTACCCACAGTACTATCACTCAGGCCCCCTGCTTACACATGATCAGGACTCATTCTTCGTCACCCCGGCCCAGCAACTGCAGCCTCCACCTTGACTGCTACCATCCACCACCAGAAATCTGATTGAAACTGCAGGAATCCCGTATGGAAGCTGGTCACTACAAATCCTACCCCTCGGCATTCTATTGGAGGTGGAAATAGTTCAAATACCCAAGCTACAGAACTTACCAGGTTGGCGTCAGCAGAGCTTGTTTGGCAGGGCCAAAGGATGGATGCATGTGTGTGTGTGAGATGTGCCTCACTGGGCTGTCATGCCAGTGTGCTGCGCTGGGGAAGGTTCCTTGAAGGGGGATTCATATGTTTCCAGATGGAAAAAACTACCAATAGGGTATGAGCCTCCAGGAATAGGCAGTGTGACATATGCCCATGTCCAGACGCTACTCTAGAGTCTACTAGAAAGGGCCACCCCAAGATACCAGTTTTCCCAGAACCAGATTCTGCCTTTAAGCTGGATTCAAATTTTGGGAGAAATCACCTTTGGAAATATGCCTTATATTGTACCCAGGATCCCACTAATCAGACGGCACCATCCTGCCCAAATTCCCTTCCATATTCTGATGTACAGAATCAAGGCACCTATGCTTTCAATCATTTGTAGGGAAACACAAGTAGGAGGAGGGAACTTCTCATTGTGAGCATGGCATCCAGTCCAGTGCAGAGAACATCAAGATATCCAGCCTCTAGGGGTATGTGAATTTTAGCAGGTGGGAATGATGGGTCCTGAGGAGAGGACTGCTGGGATGTTCAGTTCAGTCACAGATGTTCCAAGGACTGGGTTACTGCCTCCGGTGTGATGTACATGTTCTCCAGAGGTGGGTGCCTACATAAGGCAAGGTGATTAGAATCGGGGGGTATTTCTATAACTAGGGAGAACTCCCTGTTGTGTGGAGACGTGTGACCTTGAAAGTAGCCAGCAGCGTTTCTTTAGAAGGAAGCTTGGGAGGCCTCATACTTCCTGAAAGGCCTGCAGTCTGCACATTCATCATCTTGAACCAGGACCCAAGTCATTTTTCACGTTTGTAACATCAGTTAACTGTTTAATTTATTTGGTCTGATCAATGGCCCGGCATGGGCCCACAACTCTCACACTTGCTATGCATAGCTGAGACATAGCCAGCCATGCAATGCTGGGAGCCCAGTCCTAACACAAATGCCCCATGAGTGTGGACTGTCAGAGCAAGTAAATTCTGGTCAGACATGATAGCTCATCCCACGACTCCTCAGGTCTATGTACAGTATTTCACATGTCACCCAACAACATTAACAGCAATCATTCTTCTGCGTCACTCCTACCCGTCCCCCTCCCCCAATACAATCACCACACATTGCAGTAATATCCCCAACCCAACCCCATTTGTTAAATATGGTACAAGTTCACAGACACCTAGGCGGAGACAAATCTACTTGTGCTGAAGAGTCCCAGGAGCCCTGGAAGCTAAGGCGGAATGAGCCTCTTGGGTTTTCGAGCTCTTAAAACTGGGTTTCAAGAGCTGTGGCCAGGAGCAAGTAAGCTGGCTAGCCAGCATGGGAGGTAGAAGCCAGATTTAGCCCAGCCCAGCGGGCTGTCCCCTGGCATCTCAACTCTCGATCTCTGTCACCACCTCCTTCCACCCACGCTGCTTCTTGGATCAGGTCTGGTGAGCAGTGGCTGCCATAGACAGGGACAAAAGGATGGTGAGGTCCCTTCTCCCACAGTGACACACTGGTCTGCCAAGGAGCCACATCGTCCTCCAGAACCCATCTAACTTTGGGCAAAATGACTTGGGCTTCTGGCCAAGAACCAAGCAGGGCCTGAGCGACAGTGGCAGTCCCCAGTCTCCTCCTGCACCTGTTGGGTGACTGCTGTGCAGGCAGACCAGGCGCTGCTCAGAACTTCTTAGCCAGTTTCCAGCGATCGATCCAGTCCGAGACCCTGTGGCGAAAGTGTCCCCTCGCCCTGGACTTGCCAGAGCCACCACCCGGGACATGAGCAGTGCAGCCTTTCATCTGCCAGAGGGACTCTTCAAATCTACTCCCTCAAACCCTGCTCCAGGAATGAGGGGACTCGGTGTGGGAGGGAGGTAGCACCACTGTCATTTCACAGCCTGGGCATCCACCTGGCCAGCCAGCAGTCCTCCTCTCGTCCAGACTCCCACTCCAAGTCCTCCTGTACCCTAGGTGGGGCGGAGGTGGCTGAGTTCACAGACGGCTTCACCGTGATCTCCAGCCCCCGGGTCTGGGTCCCGCTGAGTAGTGTGCCAAGAGCCTCCTCGAGTCCCACGGCCAAGGAGTCCCCAAGTAACAGACTCCTCGTGGCCCAGGGTCAGGCCAATGTTTTGTTTTCCCTCTTCACAGCTTTCAGGTGAGTGTTGGATTTACAGAGTAACCCGGCCCCCAAACCTGTGGAGATGCGTTTCCCTGTTCGCTGCGCCCGACAGCCTCCTGGGGAGGTAGTAGGGATGGCTTGTCCCACTTCTTCTAGACAAGCCTCCAATCTGCAGAAAGCCCGGATGGCCCTGTCCACCACAGGGCCAGGGCGCAGAGGGGGCAACGCTGGTTGTGAAACACCCCCTGCAGGGGGCTCGGCCGGGGTTATGGGGGCGAGTCCCTGGTCAGGCCGTACTGCAAGCTCACAGTGTGGTCCAGCTCCTCCAGCTCAGCGGGCAGAGGGATGGCCAGCTCCCCCAGGTACAGGGAGAGGGCCTCAAAGGAGTCCTCCAGTTTTGAGAATGCTGGTCTAGAAAGAAAGGGGGTGAAGAGATAGGTGAGCGGTGGGCAGAGCCAAAGGTCACATGAAATCCTAACACTTTTTTCCCCCGCTTTTTGGGCCACACCCAGCGATGCTCAGGGGTTACTCCTGGCTCTGTACTCAGGAACTACTCCTGGCGGTGCTTGGGAGACCATATGGGATGCTGGGGATCAAACCTGGGTCGGCCGTGTGCAAGGCAATCTTCAGAAAGAACTAAGGCTAGCCATATACAAGTGAGATATATATATATATATATATATATAATATCTATACTATCCAGCTCCCAAAATCCTAACACTTCTTCTTCTTCTTTTTTTTTTAAATTCGTGAAACACCATGAGGTATACTTGTAGACTTACACACTTTGGGTGCTTGGGTTTCAGTCATACAATGATCAAGTGCCCATTCCTCCACCAGTGCCCATTCTCTACCACCAATGAACCCAGTAGCCCTCCCACCCCTTTTCCCCCCACCCTGCCCCACCTCTGTGGCAGGGCATTCCCTTTTGCTCTCTCTTTCCTTTAGGGTGTTGTGGTTTGCAATAGAGGTATTGAGTGGCCATAGTGTTCGGTCTATAGTCTACTTTCAGCACACATCTCGCATTCCGAGCGAGTCCTCCAAACACCCTTTACTTGGTGTTCCCTTCTCTATCTGAGCTGCCTTTCCCCCCAGCATGTGCTGCCGGCTTCCAAGCCGGAAATTCTAACACTTCTATGTTTACTCCTCTTTTGTGTTTTTTCTTAAACTTCTCTCCTTCTCTACTCTGACCACTATATTTTAAATTGTGATATGCACTGTTCCTTTTTGCTTGGTTTGGCTATTTTCCCACAGCATTTGTCATTTTTTAGAATCCAATGTAATTTATTACGTTTATTGGAATCAACTTTCTTTGTTAAAATGTAAACTGTGTGGTGGGTCCAAGGGACTGAACCTTGGTCAGCTGTGTGCGAGGCAAGCTGCCTACCCCACTGTACTATTGCTCTGACCTGTTTAAGCTTTGTTTAAAGGGGAAAATTAATTCAGTGAATAAAAATGCTCACTATAGGGCCAGAGAAATTGTACGATTAAGGTGCTTGCCTTGTATGCAGCTAACCCCAGACTGATTCTCAGTACTGTACAGCCCCTAAAAAATGCGGAGGTGACCCCTGAGTACTGCAGGGTGTATCACAACCTCCCCGACACAAAACAAAAACAAAACAGAAAAAAAAATTACCAAAAAAGGGGCAGGGCATTTGCCTTGCATGTGGCCGACCTGGGTTTGATCCCCAGCATCCCATATGGTTCCCTAAGCACTGCCAGGAGTAATTCCTAAGTGTAGAACCAGGAGTAACCCCTGTGCATCACCGAGGGTGACCCAAAAAGGCACAAACCAAACCCAAACAAAACAACATGGCTGGCTCTTTCAGCCTGTGCTTGCCCCGAACACAGATTTCCCCCCCTCTCCCCTTTCACATCTTTCTAAGCAAGTTTCGTTCAATAAAAACTATTTTGCTTCACACCACACACACATATACACACAATCACTAAGTACACACGAACACACACACACACACTATAGTGTAGTAAGAAGTACTGCAAAGCTGGAAACTTCTGAAAAATCACATTATGTATATTATAACATGTTTAGACTTAACAGTTGCATGTAGTCAATAACAGTGAAAAATGAGAAGACTAGGTCGTAACAAGGAGAGTGCAAAAACAGAAAACTTTCCTCTATTTGGGATGTTTTAGCTCAGGCATATTTGGATATGGATAGGGAACACAGATTCTGTTAGAATAACAGAGGTTTTGGTGAATTTTCTTCCATTAATATCTATTTTGGCGGTGGCTCTGGGGATTACATCCGAGACCCATCCATTTGAGGCATGAACACAGCTGCTGAGTGCATTCCTTGCCCTTAACATTTTTCTTTTATCTTTATTTCATTTCTTTGATTTATGCTATGGTACGCGGAATAAGCTCGGGGTGCCACACATGCAAGACAAATACTACTGCGGAACCCTCTTTTTTTTCATGTACAGGCCATGCCCTGTGGAGTTCAGGGGGTCATAAAGTCATAAAGAATTAAGGATTAAGCTCAGAACCTACTTGCTAGGTTCTTGCTCTACCACTTAGCTGTCTCCCTTGTGCCCCACTTCACCTTTAATGTAAAATGTAGTTCCAGTGGCTGGAGACAGTACAGAGATGAAGGCACCTGCCTTGCATGTGGCTAGCCTTAGTTCAATCCCTGTCATCACATGAAGTTCCCTGAGCACAACACGTATGGCTCAAGCCATACCGCACCTTCAAAAAGAAATGCAGGGGCCAGAGAGAAAGTACAAAAGCCAAGGTGCTTATCAGGCATACCAACAATCTGAGGTTGATCCCTAGTACTGCAGATGGTCCTCCAAGCCCCACCAGGAGTGATCCCTGAGCACAGAGTAAGGAGTAAGTCCTAAATCCCGCTTGGTCTGGTTACAAAAACAAACAAAAAGAGCAGTTTTGTGCTCTACTTGTTTGTTCTGCTTTTTGGCCATACCCAGTGGTGCTCAGGACTCCTAGTGGAGCTAGAGGGACCATATGCGACTATAGATCAAGGATCCAATCCAGATGGGCCGACGATACACTAGGGATCCGATCCAGGTGGGCTGCGTGGAAGCCAAGTCCTTAACCCTGGTTAAATCTCTGGTCCCGTGCTCTATGCTCGACTTCTGACCCCTGAAGATTTCTTTACATGGCTCCGTCTCTGTTATCTGTGTCACTTGCTACAAGGCCCACGTTTTAGTCCTCCCTGGAACTGACATGTCTGCTTTCAGATGGCAATAACTGTTGATATGACATCCCTGAGTTCAAGGCATTTGTGACCCCTGTGGCTGGAAAGGAACAGCCTCAGGCTGGAGTAAGCACCACCAGACAGTGAACGTGGGGAACGGGGCGAGGTACCAACCTGCTCTCGGGCTCCAGTTTGCAGCAGATAGCGGCCAGGGGGAAAAAGGCTGGGGGGCAGTCTGTGGGGACAAACTTCTCCCAGAATAACTTCACGTTCAGGCCAAAGTCCAGTGTTCGTGGCAAGCAGTCCGGATCTGCATACACCTGCCCAATAATCTGCAGGCGAAAAGAAGGCTGGTCAGAAATGCTGGGCCGTGGCAGTACAGAAGACGAGGCCTTGCAGATGGCTGGAACTGCAAGTTTGGTCCGAATCCCTAGCACTATATACGGTTCCCCTGAACACTGCCAGGGACCACTCTTGGGCACTGAGCGAGGAAAAGCCCCCGAGCACTGCTGGGTGTGCCAACCCCCACCAAAAAAGAAAAGGAATTAACCATGGAGAATGCTCCCATGTGGGAAGGATGGGCAGAAATCACTTGGGAAAAACAAGGCTGGCTGCTCTCACCTCTCTCTCCACCTCTTACTAACCCACCAAGAGTCTGAGTATTGAGGAGGATGGAAGAGATGTCACTGCAGCACAAGCACGCTGGCATGTGGAGGGGGCAGCGCCCACACATTCCGCCCTGCCCTGCTATGGCCCCATTATGTCCGTGTCCCCTGTCCAAGTTCAGGCTGTGTGAGATGATTCATTTGGCATTTCCCTAGTGCTTCGCGCGTAGTGCGTGTGCAACTAATTTCTATGAAAGAAAGCAATTCAAAAAATCTTTTCTTTGCTTGTCGCTCCTCTATCATTCACCACGCTGGAGGAATTATTCAATGAATGTACCCGAGTCCTCTGAGAGAGACTAAGCTCTTAAGGACAAGAACTTTCCCAAGATTCTCCCTAGACCCCAAGAAGCCAGCATGAGTTGGCACTTTCTGGAGTGATTACTTCCACTTGTTGGGCAGAGGATGCTGGGGCGGGAAGGTGGGCACCACCAGGGCCTGAGGAAGGGGTGACAGAGCAGAGAGCTGCACCTGGCCCAAGCTAGATGTCATCAACACGAACATTCTCCTGCCTCTCCTAGCAGAATTCTGAATCTCATCTGCCCTTTTCTACTTGGTCTAAGTTTTTTTCAAAATTAAACTTTCTTCACCGTAAGAAACCCTGCTCAGAGACTCACGAATGAATCTCGGAAGACAGCTGCTGACACAGAGCGGTCCCCGGACCCCATGCCGAGCTGGGCACCAGGGCGCCTCAGATGGAGCAGACTACTGCTCCATCTGCCTACTCCAGAAGAAAACCCTGGTGGCCACAAACCTCTGGAAGAAAAACCCAGGTACGGGGTTTTCTGGGTCACACCCGGCGAAGCACAGGGGTTACTCCTAGCTCTGCACTCAGGAATTATTCTTTGCGGTGCTCAGGGGACCATATGGGATGCTGGGAATCGAACCCAGATTGGCCATGTGCAAGACAAACGCCCTACCTGCTGTACTATCGCTCTAGCCGCAAAACCCAGGTACAGGGAACCAGTGACTGAAAACTCCAGGCCATGTGGAGGCAGGTATGGGCGGTCCCTCCCCATCTCCCCGCCCATCTGGTGTGCTGGCAGTGACGCCCACAAATTACCTCTGGGCGCCATTTAAGAGCATTAATGGCCATGATCCAGAGACTCACAAATGAATCTTGGAAGATGGCAGCTCACCACAGAGATGTTTTCAGACCCTAATTATTTAAAATTTTATACATCCTATACTATTCATTACAAGCAATATAAAATAAATTACTTAGCCTCTGCTTGTGGGCCGGACTTTAGTGGTGGTGAGGAAATTCAAAATAATGGTGGAGGGTAGGAGTAGTGATGGTGGGATTGGTGTTGAAACATTGAATGTAATCAATTACTTTGAACAACTTTTTGAAAATAAAATTGAAAAAAAAAAACCAATAAGGAAACCCTGCTCAGGGACCAGAGCAATAATACAGTGAGTAGTGCTGGAGTGGGAGCACACGGTCAACCCAGGTTTGATTCCCAGCATCCAATATGGTCCTCCAAGCCGTGCCAGAGTGATCCTTGAGCACAGAGCCAGGAGTAAGCCCTGAGCAGAGCCAGGTGTGGCCCCAAAATGAAACAAAACTAAATAAAAACCCTGTCCAATTCTTCTCAGGAAACCAGTAACATATCTACTGACACATTAAGGAGACTTAATAGTATCTGTAGGATAACATTGGTTTGTCCTTTCTGCCTTGCCATAGGGAGCTTAGGTTTATTGGGTTGCTCCCATCACAGTGCTCCCATTCCTCTGTGTTTGCTTATAACCTCTTTCTTTGTGCTCTGTTGACATGTAAATACTGTTTTTCTCTTCATAAGTCCTTTGCATAGTTAATTCAGAGCAATGTCCTTTTTGTATGGAAACAAGAAGACAGTTAATGCTATGCTTTCATAACTTAGGAGTTAACTGACTGAATAAAATTTACCTCCTGGACATCTGTTCTCTCGACTTAAGCCTTAGCTGCCCTTACTTCCTAGCATCCCAAAAGCAGGATCCTGACGAGAGACTGGATGGACCCAGGGCAAGCTGTGAGCTATGTGCTACCCTGGCATCGAAATGGGCCTGGCCAAAGCACCATAGTACTTAACTATAAGTTAAGAGCATGGTCATGGACAAATTCTGTCATGATCCAAAAAGTAATAACTAGATTTGGACCCTGCTAGGGTTAGGAATAATTAATCTGGCCTGAACACTGTAGTCTGAGTCGTGCGAGATGTTCCCAGAAGAGCCACCCTACATGCTCAATGTATCTCTCACTGTGTCCATACAAAATAACTAATATTAAGAAGTAGAATTAAGATAGTAATTAAGATATTAAGTTATTGGACTAAGGAGAAGAGGACTACCCCTAGGTGGTGTTTCTGCCCTTGAGACTGATGGGTGGTCAGGAAGGGCTTTCTTATGTTGATTTTGCTACCAGACTAGAGAGAGTGGGAGAGAGAGGAGAGAGAGCAGGGTAGCAAGATGGAGCATGGAGAGACTAGCAAGGGGGACAGAGGGAGAAGAATGTGGAAGAAGAATACAGGAGCAGACACATGGAGAGAGAGCCCAGGCTGTGAGATGGAGTGCGGAGAGATGAGTGGGAGATACAGGAGGAGACGGGAATGAGGGACAGTGTGAGACTAGAACTGGGAGCTTAGTGAGACTGGAACAGGCACGTGGGGAAAATGGAATAAATGGCAACTGATCATCAATCAACCGGCTTGGCCCTCGCTTCCTCCTCCATCCGCCCATGACCTGGGCCGCCCCGGGTGGGGGAGCGGCCCAAGATCACCCAACCCGGGCGGAGAGAGGGAGAGCTGCCGGCACCCTCCCTAGCCACCTGGAGACTACACAAGTGTCAACAGATGTGTTATTAGCCACCCAAGGTCTACACTTGTGTTGATCTGATGATCATCTACAGTGGGCAGAGACCCAGTTCTGAGGCAGGACAGAATTGCTAGACCACACAGTTGAAGAAGCTCACCTCGCAGAGAACGATCCCGAAAGAGAAGACATCCACTGTCTCATCATAGCTCTTTCCTTGGGAACAGAGAGGAGCAGATTGTTAGGTATGGTTCCTAGTCGGTTATGCACCATTCTAGAGCCAAGCCATGAGGCAACCAAGAAACAGTGCCAGCACAGATTCTTTGGGGATGCTCCCAATTTGCCAAGACAGGTACCACATGAAAATCTTCCTTCTTTAGTCTGAGGTGGACTGCCATTAGGCATCTTATGAAACAACACTGCCCCGGATTAAACTGGATGGTAGAGTGGAAGAGAACTGGACCAAGAGTCCCTAGAACTCGGCCTTTAGCCAACTGTGTGTTCTTGGGAAAAAGCAAGGCACTTCTTTGGTCCCCAGTCTCCAAAAAGGGAATATTCAAAAATTACCGAGATCTTGCAACTGTCAACATTTTAAGTATCCCAGCCTGAGACTCTGAGTGAGACTCAACTTTGGTTGAAAGCAAGAGGGGACAGTCGCCTTTGCAATGAGGTGGTCTCTGGCGACTTTGTGCATTATCCACAAGGGGGCACCACACTTTAGTTTTCAGCAAAGAGAAAAGGTTAAAGGCAGACAATCAGCTTTCAGTTGCCCTTGAGGAACTTTCAGTTCACCTGTGGTCAAACCTCACCTGAGGCCGAGGATGGGACACTGACCAGCTCAGGGGAAAGAGCATTTCATGAGGCCCTGTCAGACCAGTGACGAAAATGACTGGCCTTCAGCAGAGCTTCTGGCCCTACACGTCAAAGGCCTTCCCTGGAGATCTCAGGGCTCTGCTACCGGCTCTCGGAGTATGTCCCCTCCAGCTCTCAGGACTCACCATTCAGCATCTCAGGAGCCATCCAGTAAGGGTTTCCCACCACCGTGTAGCGCTTCTTGCGGTCATTCTTGCGCAAAGTGCGTTTCTTGGTGTTAGCTTTCTCCACGGGTGGCTTTTTCCTCTCCTCCACGATGAGCCGGGACAGTCCAAAGTCAGCCACCACCACAGTCTTGTCCTGTGAGGACAGGGGCCAGGGTCAGAATGTGGTTGGACCATTGTCAAACTTGGAACTGGGGTGGGGACTTAAGCAAGAGAATACTTCAAAGGAGGGGAGAAGAGCCAAGGAGCCGTGGCAAAGGCTATGGCCTGCGCTTGCTCAGTTGCTACCGCAGAGCAAAGTCCCTCGAGGGCTTCGTGCCTGGAGGATGGCACTGGGAGGAGAGGGGCTTTCTTTGTTCCTAGTTTTTTTTTTTCTTCCGGCCTGGTCTGTCTTGTTCCCAGGAATATTTAGGCCATGGCTAAAACCAGGGTAAGATAGAAAAACAACAAAGTAAAGGTCGTGGGGACCAGTGTGGGGTGCTTGGGGAAGATAAGCCCTTCAAATAGCTACAGGGCAGTCATGTGGAAAGGGATTAAGGATGGTGTGAGTGCAGAGGGTGGAGCCTGGATCAGCTAGTGGACACCGGATCCAATGGAAAGCAGGTCACGAATCAAGAGGAAAAATTACATTGTAAGAGACCATAGCGGAGGGGCAGTGGGAGAAATGCTGGCTTCAAACTAGTCACATAAACGTACTATCTCTAAGGCCTTCAGTGGAGCCAGCCACAGGTGCTACAGCTGTGAAAATGGGGTTCACAATGAGCTGCTGAGTAAAGCGATAGTGCTTACATGCAGTTAAGGAACTCCAATGTCCCTTCTAACCAAAAGATTTCAAAGGCTGCTAAAGGGAAGGGAGATCTGAGGAGGCAGGAGAAGGCATCGGAAGCAAGAAGGGCAAGATAGGAGACTCTGAGTGAGACCTCTGGATGAAAGCAAGAGGGGACAGTCGCCTTTGCAATGAGGTGGTCAGAGGTGAGAGGGCTGACCCAAATGTCTGAGAGAGGGGACATACCAGTTTTATGAGGCAGTTGTGTGAGTTCAGGTCCCGGTGGATGATGCACATGGAGTGCAAATAGGCCTGGAAGCGAAGGACGAGCAGAGGTCAAAGGGAAGCTGATCAACATGAGCACCGGGGCCCACAGAACTGGCTCTAAAGCCAGGCCACCCCCACTCAGCGTCAGAGCCCAGGTGGACTCCAGGGCCTGGGCCCGCTGTTCACCACATCAGCCTTAACTTCTAAAACACATACTCTGGTCAGAAAGTTTCTGGCTTAAAAAGCTTTTGTATTTGTCCTCTGAATTCCCACCTGAATTTCCAAACTAAATTCTTTTTTTTCTGTTTTACTTTTTTGGATCACACCCGGCGATGCACAGGGGTTACTCCTCGCTCTGCACTCAGGAGTTACCCCTGGCGGTGCTCAGGGGACCATATGGGATGCTGGGAATTGAACCCGGGTCGGCCGCGTACAAAGGCAAACTCCCTACCCGCTGTGCTATCTCTCCAGCCTCCAAACTAAGTTCTTTACCTTGAAACAGAGAGCTTAATCTTCTCACAGATGAATACTGTCTTTCTGGACCTCACATGAAGAGACGCGATTAAACTCTCAGGTTGGGGGGTAGAATGATTAGTCTCTATAATCCTATCCTTTCTAGCCTCAGCTTCTCGTCTGGAAGCCAGGTGTGAGTAATGACACATGAACATGAATCCCTTAGATCAGTGATTGGCATAGAAAACCTTCAGCAATCATCACTATTTTTGTAGAAAAAAAAAAGGGGGAGCGCCAGGGTTTACATAGCTCTGTGCTCAGGAATCATTAGTGCGAGGTTTGGGGGACTACAGGGGATCGAACCCAGGTCAGCCGCATGCGAGGTCTACTTGCTGGACAACCTCTCCAGCCACCAACTGTCACTTCTATTGCTCTGAATGGTGCCATTCTTTCCCAGGTGAAAAAGAAAACCAAACTTTCCTCGTGTTTTCTCCCAGGTCTTTACTGCTTTCACAATGATTTCGAGAGCCTTTCTGTCAATTATATCCATTATAATTTTATGCACTGTCTGTCCACTGTAGCACTGTCCTCCCGTTGTTCATCGATTTGCTCGAGTGGGCACCAGGTACGACTCCATTGTGAGACTTGTTGTGACTGTTTTTGGCATATCGAATACTCCACGGGAAGCTTGCCAGGCTCTGCCGTGCGGGCGAGATACTCTTGGTAGCTGCATTATAATTTATCTAACTATAAAACATCCTCAGGGTTCGGTTAGAACTTATTTCCCACTTCTCTCTTCCTAGCTGGTGAGGTTCTTGTCGAGCTCCAATACCCACAGCGCCACCACCCCTCTGTGAGAGCCAGGCCAGTCAGTTTGCTTTTAAATATTTGGAATCCTCTGCGGGTAGGATGTAAGCTGAGGACAGCAAGCTGAGGGCAATTTCACTGGCAAAAAGACAGGGTCGAAGGAATATAAGAGCGGGCAGGGTGCTTGTCTTGCATGCAACAAAGTTCGATCCCCTGGCATCCCAGACAGTCCCTAGACTTGCCAGGTGAGATCCCTGAGCAGAGCCAGGAGTAAACCCGGTCACCACTGACCTGAGCACCACAGGGTGTGGCCCCAAAACAACAAAAAAAAGAGAGTCCAATAAATCGTTCCCAAATCATCCTGCCCACAGGAGCTGCCTGCCCACGATGCTCACACATCTCAACTAGCCCCGTGGGCAGGGTTGCTGGCAGGACTCACCATTCCGGAAGCAATGCCTTTGGCGAACCTGACCTTCTGCTGCCAGGGGAAGGGATCCTGCAGGATAGAAGAATGCCCGTCAGAAGTTGCTGGGCCCTGTCCCACTTGTGGCCCAGGTCCCCTGAGTCAACATGTCAACGAGCCCTCAGGCCTGTAGTCAGTTCCACCCACCGTGACCCTTCAGAGTGAGTCTCTGGCACTGGTGGTTCCAGAAGAGTGGTAACACAGGTGCCCACTGAAAACCCACCAAGCCTCTTGGAACCTAGAGGGCGGCAAGCTCACCACACTGCGCAGGAAGTCCTTCAGCGTGCCTCCTTCAATGTACTCTGTCAGCAGGTTCAGCTTCTTGTCCTTGTACAGCACCCCGATGAACTTGAGCACATTGGGGTGGTCCAGGCTACGCATTACCTTCACCTGAATGCAGGAAAGCCAAGGAGGTTGGGTGGTTACAGCCTATGGACATCCTCACCCTTCCCTCCTGAGAATCTGCACGGCAAGTGGTACCTGCACTTCCTAGCACAGGCCCTGTGGCAGAGACTATCAGGGAGGAAAGCACACGTCCACAGGAAGGACATGGCCTTGTTCAACTCTGGGGTCCTGCCTGACTAAGAACTGCATTGGGGATGAAGTTGGAGGATGCAAGAGTGAAACAAAGGCTTAGTGCAGTACTAGCTCACAGGTGTATTCAGCTGAAGTAATAGAACAATGGTGGAGACAGTGAAAACTGGGTAAATAAAGGCCCATGGGTATCAGTTCTCTGGTAGGCCCCAGTCTAGGCTACCCCATCAGGGATTATACTGATTATTACATCTCATACTATACTGGTTCATTCTTTTTTTTTTTTTTTTTTTGCTATTTGGGTCACAGCCGGCGAAGCACAGGGGTTACTCCTAGCTCTGCACCCAGGAATTACTCCTGGTGGTGCTCAGGGTACCATATGGGATGCCGGGGATCGAACCCGGGTCAGCCACATGCAAGGTAAACGCCCTACCCGCAGTACTATCACTCTGGCCCTAAACTGAGTCCGTTCTTACATCCACCACCTGCAAAGTCCACAAGCTCCTCTGATCCACCTCTTATCTGTACTCTACTTGTGAATGTGTTTAGTAAATGCACACTGAGTGAGGTCCGTTAGAGAGGGCAGGGACAGTCCCTAGTGCTCTATTCTGTTGGCTTCTTACAACCATGATACCAAACTCCCCGCCTCCATTTTACCTCTTACCTCAGTCAGAAAAGTCTTCTGTGTTTCCTCATCACACCGAATTAGTTCCTTCATGACCATCACTTTGCCCGTGGCTTTGTGTGTCACCTACAGAGAAAGTAACTATTAGTGGTGCCGGAACCAGAGGCAGTTCTGGAGGCTGGCTTGTTGAAACCTACACAATCGATCATTCCATCCCTTGGAGACACACTGAGCTGGACCGGAAGGACAGAAAATTCGTGTATGAAGGATACAGCGCAGGCTAACGGGGGACCCGGAAGGGAGCAGAGCCTCACCCCTGGAGAGCTGGGCATGCACAGAGAGTTGAGAATCCAGAAAAGGGAGCAGGGAGGGAGGCAGGAGGGGACGCTGCCAAGCCAAGCAGGGGCTTTGGTCATCTGACAGAGGAATCTCTCGGGTGAACTGAAGTTTGGGGGTAGAAGGGTCAGTGCCACAGACATGCTCCGGAAGGCTAGGTGGGGTGGGTGTGAGCTCTTCAGCCCAACTGCCCCCCAAGCTCAAACACATGGCTTACCTGACCCCCCCTCCCAGCTTTCAGCAGAGGAGGAGGAGGAAAGAAAGAGACAGAGGTTAGTCCCAGCGACTATTCCCAGGGATGCAGGGGCCACTCGCCCATTTGCTCCCTGAAATATGCCCAGCACCGGTAAAAGCACTGGTAAAAGCACTAGTAGTGGGAGGCAACCACTAGTAGCATCAGCACTGCTCACTCCAACCAGGTTCTCCAGGTGTACGAAGCTCGATCTAACACCACCACTGCCCTGACATGGCCTAGGAGGGTGGGACAGAGTCATCACACTGTCACCTGCAGCCAAGAAGGCTGGTGTTCTGTGGGGTATGGGAGGAAGTCTGGTGACAGGCTCTTTGTTTTTATGTCACACCTGGTGGTGCTTAGTGGTTAATCCTGGTCTGCACTCAGGGATCATTCCTGGCTGTGCTCAGTTAACTATATGAGGAGCCAGGGGATCGAACCTGGGTCAGCCATGTGCAAGGCAAGGCAAACAATTGGTACCTGCTGCACCACCAGTCTGGCCCCTCATGAGAACTCTCTGAAAGAAGGTGAGAGAGGGTTAGGGGACAGAGAACAGCCTGTGCTCACCTTGATGGCCTGCCCAAAGAAGCCCTTCCCCAGGACCTCCCCATGGGTCAGGTCACATGGCCGGAAGATCTGCTGTGAGTAGCTGCTGGAACAGCGGAGGGATTCTGAGCGGCTGATGTCACGGCTGAGCAGGAGGGGTTCTTTTGGAGAGCTGGGGCCGGGGGACTTAGAGATACTGTTACTGCGCCTGAAGATGAAGAAAGGTAGGGTAAATCCTTAGAGATCTACCAAGAAGCCTGGGGGCAAAAAGCTTAGGGCCACCTACCCGGTCCATTCCAATATTTGCAATGCAGCCGCAATGATGGGGCAGGAGGCTCTTATATTAGACAGATATACTATGTTTAGGCTTCCGACACCAGCAGTTCATTTAAGCACAATAAACATACCCTCAAACTGCGAATCCCAAGTACCACCCACCTGAACTGACTACATCTATGGTCACTAGAAGACAGCACTATAGATAATATTCCACCAAAAAGAAGAATCCCAAATATTTCTCATGTCTTTGAACCTGTGTATGTTTTCTGAATTATAAAACAATAAGCCTGTATAACAAGTCTCACAATGGAGACGTTACTGGGCCCGCTCGAGCAAATCAATGAACAACAGGAGGACAGTGCAGTGCTACAGTGCCTGTATGATACTCTTAACATTAAAGCCACAATATTTACATTTTTATAAGCAGCAGGCAGTGGTTACTAGTGGTTGAAGACTATATCTCCTAAGGAAAGGACAAGAAGGGCCACAGAGAGCCCAGAGACAGAGCAAAGGGCCAGAGTGTGTGCCTGTATCATGAGGTCCCAAGTTCAATACCTGGCACTGCAGGGCTCCCCCACAAACCCTGGAAATGACCGGTATTGCATGAGCACTGAACTGTCAGGCCTGCACAACCAGGCTGAGTGTCACTTGGAGTGACCCCTTCTCCAAATCCCCCTCCACACCCGGAAAAAAGAAGGGAGAAGAAGGCCGGCATCCATAGCACTGAAGGTAAACTGCAACCTCACAAATCTCTCTTCTAGGAATGCTGTTTCCCTTGGGCTTCTCAGGAAGGGCACTCGGGGCGCGCGCACACACACACACACACACGCGCACACACACACACACACACACACACACACACACACACACACACTTCTAGTCCTATTGTGCCCCTGCACAGGTCAGGCCACCCTGTCCAGCACAGTTCAGTGCACAGAGCCTGACGCTCTGGTTACTAAGGCAACCTGGCAGACAGCTGGGTCACATCATGCACAAGCCCTGGCTAGGAGCTGTGATCGCCATGGGGAGAGCTGGGTCAGCACAAACCTCATAGCCTGTTCCTGGCCAGCTGGTTCCCTTTCTAACTCTGCTCGCCACTGAAAGACCACTCTGTCTCATCTGAAGGAAAGGCACAGAAAAGAACAAAGTCAGGGCGGGAGGAGGCACCTCAGTGAGCGTCTCCTCAGTGTCCCATCCAGATTCTCCTTGGTGTCCAAGGTACTGAGGGTGTGGGAATGTCCGGCGTTCTGTATGTGGGGAGAGAGTCGCGTATCCAGCCGCAAGTGGTCCAGGTGCTGGGAGTCGGGGTCATGTTCGATCAAGACCTGCAGCGTTTGGCTTGTCTGGCTAATCGCATCTTCTACCTGTGGCCAAGAGCAGTGTAAGACTGGGTCCCACAGGCTGTCCCTTTCCAAGCCACCCACCATCAGCTCAGGGGATCAAAGGACAGTGTGTCAATACTGATTGAGTGGTTAATGGTGGCCTCCACCTGCAGGAATGCCCTCTGCCTGGCATCCTGGTAGCTCTACTATCTGTTCAAATAATCCCTGCTGCCCTGGGAACACATCAGGCTTGGCATAGGAGGTCATCATGGGTCGCAGGCTTAGTGGGCAAAACAAAAAGAAAGGCTAAGCGTGGGCAAAGGTAAAAGTCGTAGCCTGATTTTCCAAATGGTCTATTCCATTTCTCACCCCCAAAAAGACAGACGGGACCTCAGTTTACCTCCTCCACGCGGAGCGTGCGGACAGGGGTGCCATTGATCTCTAAGATGCGGTCACCAGGGTGGATGGCATTCCGATTGTTGGGAGTGATGTGCATACGGTTGACCCTGGAGCAAAGCAAAATTGAGGAAGAGTTAAGGAATCCTACAAACACTCCTCGCCAACTTCATTTAAGCAGGAAAGGCTCACCTGGCCTCAGGTCATCCAAGGCCCAGGGCACTTACGAGGAAAGGCAATACCCTTTCAAGGACTTTTCGTCTCAGCAAAGGGAACCAGAGATCCAGTGCAAAGACGATTTACATCCTCCCCGTCTGGAGTTCCCTCACCATCCTGGAGAATCCTGCTTTCTCTCCATTACTGTAGCTCACCAACACCCCTCACCTGTCTCTAACTGGTCTCTACACTTAGAGACTTGCCCTTCTCCCATCCAATTTCTATACCAAAAATCCTTCTAGAGTGCTAACCTCGTGTTAGCCCGTGGCTTACACTTCTTAGTGGACTTGCTGAGTCTTCGTACAATCCAGGCCTCCGTGACTTGACTGAGCCTCCCCTCTGGCTCCCAGTCGGACAATCACGGACTCCTGCCTGCGCCCTGAAAACAATTCCATCCTGTCTCTCTATCAAATAAGGCTTTAGAGCAGATCTCACTTCCTCCTGAATCCCTAACCTGCGGACTCACATATGCAAGCACTCACTGCTCAACCCCTAGCAGGTGACAGTCACTGTCTACAGGCTCTGTGGCCACAGGAGCCCCAACTTCTTTTCAGCCATGAACCTTATTTTCTCTTTCTTCTTCCATTAACTTAGACAGAAAACAATAGTTAACAACACCTACTATCTCCACTGTTCCGGGCTCTGGGTACGCAGTGTGAATAAAACTTAAGTTGCAGAAGGAACCAGCGGGGAGGACAGACGATATTAAATTTGAGGCTGGAGGAATAGTTCAGTGGGTATGGAGCTTGTCTTTCATGCAGCCAACCCAGGTTCGATTCCCAGCACTGCACACAGTCCCCCATGCACTGCCAGGAGTAATTCCTGAGTGCAGAGTCAGGAGCAAACCTGGAGCACTGCCAGGCTGTGACCCAAAAACGGAAATAAACCAAAACAACTCCAAATATCCAATATACTTAATCAAACCATCATTTCAGAGAGCAAACCTGATCTGAAATTTGACAAGTGATCCAATGTTAATGAGCTGGAAAGAAGCAGTTTAGGCTGATAGACCAGTCAGTGCCAAGGCCCAAGTGAGATTCCAGCCCAGGAGAAAGAGAGGTGGCGAGGGAGCTCTGCATGAGAATTCTGAGTCCTGAACTTCCTGAGCTCCTTTCTGAACTTTGCTCAGGAATCTCTGGTTCCACGGATCTCAAAATACTCACTCTTTCACTTGCACGGTGGTGGCATAGTTGGAGCAGGTACTCTCCACAGACACAGAGAAGCCACGTCTGCCCTCGGTGGTGGCTGGCATGGAGATGAGTGTGACGGAGTAGGGCAGCTGGTCATGAACAGACTCCGTGGAGAGCCTCTCAAACATGGGTGCCAGCACCACATCATTGTGACACTTCCCACTGAAAAGAGAAAAAGTAAGGCGGTTAAGATCACGGTCCCGGGGCTAGAGTGATAGCACAGCGGGGAGGGCATTTGCCCTGCACGCGGCCGACCCGGGTTCAATTCCCAGCATCCCTTATGGTCCCCCAGCACCGCCAGGAGTAATTCCTGAGTGCAGAACCAGGAGTAAGCCCTGTGCATTGCTGGGTGTCACCCAAAAAGAAAAAAAAAAATGATGGGTCCCTGGCTGGAAGCTTCCAGCAACCACTTGAGCATGTGCCCATAAGCAAGAGTACCCACGATCCCACTACCACCGTCCTGCCGTTATTCCATTTGGCTGCTCAAAGGAGCAGCATGGGTTCTTGGTGCAGCTGGGGCTGGCAGTGAGAAAGTCTGGGTTCTCTTTAGTCCGCTTTGACTCACAGTCAGACTCTTCCCTTAGGTCCCTTCCTCTCAGGACTTCAGCCTATCAAAGCAGAGGAATCGAGTAATTGCTAAGGGGCCTTTTCCTTTAATTTTTGGGGATCTTTCTCTAAGAGCAATTTTCTAGCCTTTCCTTCTGGGAGTATCGAAGGGCAGTATACCAATATTTACACAGTCGACAGGACCAAAAGCAGAGAAATGTTAATTGTCTTCCTTGTCTTTCTTTTTTTTTTCTTTTTGGGTCACACCCAGTGATGCTCAGGGGTTACTCCTGGCTCTGCACTCAGGAGTCACTCCTGGCAGTGCTCGGGGGACCATATGGGATGCCGGGGATTGAACCCAGGTCAGCCGCATGCAAGGCAAACGCTTTACCCGCTGTACTGTCACTCTGACCCCTCTTAATTATCATATATATACAGGTTATAGAGCTGGTAAAGTGCACTGCTCTGATAGGAGTCTAGTGCTTTCATATGCCCCTACTAGCTCTAGCAGTCACTTCTCTCTCCCCTTCATTCTCTTTTAAATTTAGTCACTGTGAAATTACAAAGCTATTCATGATTGAGTTTCAGGCACACAGTGTTTTAACACCAACCCCTTCACCAGTACCCGCTTCCCTCCACCAATGACCCTCTCCCTCATCTGCTTCCTACCACTAGTCTGCCGCTATAAGGGACATTTTTTTTTTTGCTTTTTGGGTCACACCTGACGGTGCATAGGGGCTACTCCTGGCTCTGCACTCAGGAGTTACTCCTGGCGGTGCTCAGGGGACCCTATGGGATGCTGGGAATCGAACCCAGGTCGGCCGCGTGCAAGGCAAACGCCCTACTCGCTGTGCTATCTCTCCAACCCCTATAAGGGACATTTTGACATGCAAGTTTTTGCACAGTGGTTTACATTATTGTTATTGGCAGGGTTACATATATCATGTTACCACCTTTCAGGACCACCTCCTCCTCCTGTTTGAGCGCTTCCCTCTACCACAGTTGTTGCCCCCTCCCTGTCCTATCCCTCAGTCCCCATCCAGTGGCATATTTCCTACCAAACACCAATCCTTGCGTTGTTTCCATTGACTTCGAGCATTCGTTATTTCGCCATCATTCAACCACTCTTATGGGGAAGGGTGAAGACCGCGGCGCCATCTTACCAGTAGAGTGAGGCATGCTGCACCAGAGCGTATGCGTCCCCATCCTCGATGATCACCTTGCAGCTCACACAGGCAAAGCACTCTGGGTGGTACTTGAATTCTCCAGCCACCTGTGAACAATCGGGAGAAGTGTGAACAAAGGGAGGAAGCTGTGACAGATGTCAGAGTGAGGAATGACCTTTGATCAAGGATTTATAGACCCCAGTCATACTTTTCATCTCCCATTACAGAGCTTCCCAAGCAAGTGTTAGGTGGGTGCCTGTCTGTCCTTGCTGAGATTACAAAACACTGTCTTGGTTTCAGTCAGGAGAAAGGATTCTCAGAAGTAATTATCTCTACGAGATAGATACCAGACTCACAGATCTTCCTTCCAACTGTGACGAGTCCAACAGCGGCAAGCCTGTGACTAGGCTTAAAGCTCTATGTCTACAACAGGTAGGTGGGACTCTGCCAGCACATTCCAAAACTTTCCTTTCCGAATCCCTGAATACAATGTAGGTGTACCCTCCTCTCAACCTGTAATGGTGTCTTTCAAGACCCTAATTCCACTGTCCTGTGTCACCTCCATGCCTGCCTGGCCCTCCACACCCCAACTGGACTGTTAAATCTTTTTTTTTTTTTTGCTTTTTGGGTCACACCCGGCAATGCACAGGGGCTACTCCTGGCTCATGCACTCAGAATCACTTCTAGTGGTGCTCAGGGGACCATATAGGATGCCGGGAATCAAACCTGGGTCAGCCGCGTCCAAGGAAAACGCCCTACCCGCTGTGCTATCACTCCAGCCCCTGGACTGTTAAGTCTTTGAGAGAAAGACCTTACCTGGCACTTAACAGGTAAATGATGGACTAAATAAAAAGAAGGGGCGCTGGATGATGGGAAGACAAGGGGCTCAAAGGTGCTGGGGAGTTGGAGGAGATATCAATAGACTTTGAGGACCGTGATAGCAGCTACGGAGGGGCTCACTTACCATGACAGGTCCTGTCATCAGCAGAGAGCACCCGTGGCAGAACTCCCCGAACTTCCCCCAGTAATCCTTATGGCAGTAGAGCTTCCCGTCCTTCTCATAGTACCAGTTGGTAAGGGAATCCTGGCATTCTGAACACCTGCAAGGCAAGATAAGATCAGAAACTGCCCTGAACCCTTTCAAATGGGTTGCATGACTGTCCCAGGTTTTCAGGTATAACAGCCAAATCACCGATCACTCTTTGGTCCAAATCCTGGGTGGAGGAAAGCCACAATTTGCTGTCTCCCCAAAGGAAGCTGGTTCAGGGTCAGAGTGGATAAGGCACTTGCCTTGCATGTGGCTGACCCAGTTTGATAACTGACATCCCATACAGTCCTGAGCCCTGCCAGGAGTGACTCTTGAGCGCAGAGCCAAGAGTAACCCCTGAGCATTGCTGGGAGTGCCCGCCACCCCCCCCCCCCCCAAAGTTAGTACGTACTAGTGCATTTTCACAATCATCCATTTTACTGGGTCAAAGAAGTGAAGTAATTTGCCCAAGCTGACATAACTAGCAGGTTGTAGGATTAGGATTCAAAGCAAAAGGCAGCTCCACCCTGCCTCTCAGAGGTAAGGATGTGGGTGGTATGAGACCTTAACAATAATATGGCGTTTAGTTGACCAAGAGGTGGTCACAGTTAGTAGGTCAGAGACCTCCTAGCCCTGAGTGCTGAAAAATGAGGAGGGCTTCTCTGTGCAGATGTTGCCTGAGAATATACTGAGTGACGGACCTACACCCAGGGGTCTGGAGGAAGGAGCAGCTCTGGTTCTGACATGTTCATCTTTCACTGTGCTAATGAATTCTTGCTTTGGTTGGCTGGTTGGTTTTGGGACATATTTGGAGGTGCTCAGGACTCCTGCCAGCTTGGAGTCATTTCAGCCTATTAACCTCTTAACACCTGCATACTAGGACGTGTCTAGAGAATGGCAGTTAAAAACTACTCTGCTTAAACAATATTCAAAAACAAAAGAAAAAGGAGCATTAAAAAAAAGGCAGATGGGGGCTGGAGCAATAGCACAGCGGGTAGGACATTTGCCTTGTACGCAGCCGACCCAGGTTGGATTCCCAGCATCCCATATGGTCCCCTGAGCACCGCCAGGAGTAATTCCTGAGTGCAGAGTCAGGAGTAACCCCTGTGCATTGTCAGGTGTGACCCCCCCAAAAATAAAAGCAGAATATGATAGGGGTAGGAGCGATAGCACAGTGGTAGGGCGTTCGCCTTACAAGCGGCCAACATGGCCGACCCGAGTTCGATTCCTCCGCCCCTCTCGGAGAGCCCGGCAAGCTACCGAGAGTATTCGATATGCCAGACACAGTAACAACAAAGTCTCCAATGGAGACGTTACTGGGCCCGCTCGAGCAAATCTACGATCAATGGCAGGGCCTTTACCTTTTTTATGATAGGGGTGGGGGGAATGAGGGGATAAGACAGTGGGAAGGGAGTGACACACTGTAACATGAGGGAGGAAGCTGACACTCTGGTAGAGGGTGGGTTCCTGGAATGTTTTTCATCATGGTGCTTAAAATAAAATAAAAAAAAAATTGGGGAGAGAGCGGAAACCTAAGGGCAGTGGTGAAGGGCTTGGTGCTGCAACAATGTATGTCTTAAACCCAATCATGAATAACTTTGTAATTTCACTGTGACTAATAAAAATACAAAGAAAAAAGGAGGAAAATTACTCAAGATTAGGTACTTTATGTACAGGATTAGTGTAGAAGCCCAAGGGATTGCTCAGTGGCTAAAGTTCCTGCCTTGCAAACATGAGGCCATGAGTTCTTTTTCCCTGATTCCATCCACAAGAGCTAAGCACAGTCCTAGGAGTTTTACTGCCCCATCTCTGGCACCACCAAGAAGAATGAGCATTGTGGCCCGGAATGCGACCCTGGGCAAGCATGTGTGTGACACTCGCCCGCCCCCAGCCCCGTGAGCACATGTGTAAGCACCGCAGAAGTGTGTGAGACCCCCCTCCCCCATCATTGCACAACAATATTAATTAATAAAGGGAAGGGAAGGGGAAAAGAAAAGTCTAGGACACTAGGAGCTCAGCAGGCATTGTTAAAGGTGATTATGGAGGGGCCAAAGACACAGTGCAACGGGCACAGCACTAGCGTTGCATGCAGCCAACCTGGGTTCGATCTCCAGCATCCCATTTGGTCCCGAGTCAGCCAGGGGTGATCCCTGAACGCAGAGCCAGAAGCAAGCCCTGAGTGCTGCTGGGTGTGAGCTCCCCCACACCCCAAAAATGTCCATCCTGGATCACTCACTGCCACAGAGTAATTTCTGCTACTTCCAGTAGTTTTTCCTCACTGACAAAATGCAGCTAAAAATCACCCTACTACCAAAAAAATCCACAGTGAAAACTAAGGCGAATGCCTGTTGCAAATCTGAAGGGCAAGGCAAGTATGTTATTATAGCAACTTGCTAAGCACTGCAGATACAAAGCAGAGATAGATATACAAAGTCTCCTACCCTATTTTTTTTTTCAAGAGCTTACAATGTGTGGGGGAAGAGAAAGTCATAACAGTTTAATTAACAACTGCAAGATGAGAGGCCACAAAGCACTGCCAGAGTCAGAGAGAGACAGGAGGAATGAGCTGAGGAGGTGGTGGAAAGCAGCTGAAGGAGGGCGATTTGGAGAAGGACCTAGAGAATCCCTCGCCACACGACTCGGGTCGCTTCTGCTCTCAGTCCCTCTTAATTTGCCCTGGGTCATTGCAGTCTGTAGCTTGCGACCTGTCCAGTGAATGCTGTCCTTAAGAGTCTTATGCCTGGAGGCAGTGTGGAGAATGATGATATGGAGTATCTAGGATGTGTCACAGTGAGAATCATAATTTACAGGAAGAGGAGGAGAAATATGGATTCAAGTTCTTGGTACCTACATGCCTTTGGACAAGGCCTCTCCTTTTCTGGGTTGTTTCCTGAGCTGTAAATCGAGGGGATTAGGTTATATTCTAGGCACTGCCTAATTCTGTGCATTTCTCTGTTCCCGGTCCCAATCTCAGCAACATCATTTACTGACCTTAGGAACGTTAGGTTGCTCCACTTCTCATTTGCGAAATGGCAGCATCAATACATGCTTTCAGGGTAGCAACAAGGAAGAAACAGTACTGTGAGGGGCTGAGTGTAGTACAGGGGGTTAGTTAAGGCGCTGGCATTGCATGCAGCTGACCCTGGTTCAATCCCTGGCACCACAGGGTCCCCCAACACTACTGGGAATGGCCCCCGACTGCTGAATGTGGCTGAACACCCTACCCCCCAATCAAGTAAATAAATGCTACTCTGAACGACAGTGAGGTGCCCCGCAGAGGGGCCGGCACACTTCCTTCTTGACCCTACCTGTGACTCAAAACTCCTGGAGCATGTTATCCACTAGATTGATGAGCTCCTTGAGGACAGAAACAGTGTTCCATATACTCTTCACAAAACCAGCACCTAGTACAGGGCCTGGCAGGGTAGCTTAGCCAATATTTCCAAACTGAAAATGGTAGGAATGGCTCGAACTAGCTGTCAAGGTGAGAGCCCATGAGTTCCATGGCTCATCGTCACCCGGTCCTATCCTATCTGCAGTGGAAAAAAGCTAGTGTAGACATATTTGCACCCAACTGCAGGCCTGGGCCCTGCTACGCCCTTGCAATGGTATGTGTGCCGCAGGGCACGGGAGCACCAGAACACGTCCTCCTCCGTGCCACTGCCAATATCCTGCTTTTGTTTGCCACAAGTAGCCGTGGCCAGGCCCGGGAGGGGGGCAGGGAGAGAAACGAGTGCAGGCATGCGGGAGCAGCCACACCAGTCGGCTGGGAGGAACACCTGGCTGGGAGCGACATCACCCAGGAACACAGCTGTGTCAAGGAATGTTTGTGAAGGACATGGCCGGCCAGATCCAACACTGACCGTCTCGGGTGTCTCTGAACAGAATGGTAGCGAGCTGACTGGGAGACAAGCAGGGTGTTCCCAAGGTGCTCTGTCACAGAACACACTGGTTCTTAGGCCACTGAAGCAAGTGTCCGGGGTGTAACGCAGCTGAAGACCACTTGCCACGTGCAAGGCACTGGGTTTGATCCCTAGCACCGCAAAACAATAACAGAAACTGCCCTGGTAGGCAAAAGAATGTTAGATTAGATATTAACGAAAACAATGATTAAGTCCCTGGAATGCCAACCCTCTTCTGGGCACTTGGTGAGGTTGCCTATTCATCTCACCACGACCCTGCAAAAAGCGAGATTATCCTGGTTTTACAGTCAGCTCACTTCTGCTGTCGCCCGCCCGATCCACACACGATGAAGCTGGAGTATGAGCCTGAGAGTACCTGGCTACAAAGCCACTTCCACTATGTCACCCAAGTCAAGTGGCATATCTGCAAAGCGGGGTGTCAAGAGTCTCAGCTGTGAAAATAAGGAGCTGGAGCTTCAGGAGTCCAAGTCCCTTTTTAGTGTGGCTACTTGGTGAGCCTTCTCCAGAGAGCCAAATGGTAAAAGGCACAGTGATTCTCCTTAGTTTAGTCCAGTGTTCTATTCTCTAGAAAAGAACCAAAACACATCCAGAGAACTGAAGATGCTACTAAAAAAAAAAAAAAAAAGAAGAAAGAAAAAAAACCCTATTTGGGGCCAGAGCACTAGTACAGTGGGCAGGGTGTTTGCCTTGCAGGTGGGCATCTCATATGGTCCCCCAAACATTACCAGAGGTAATTCTTGAATTCTTAAGTGCAGACCCAGGAGTAAGTAAGCCAAGAGCGCTGTCGGTGTGGCCCCAAACAAAACAAACAAAAACTTCAGATTATCAGAAGACCTGGCTGGCCATAACATGCTCCTCAGAAGCCAAAGCTTTCAGTCTCTCCTTCCCCGACCCTCCTGCCGCCCCCCCCCCCCACCCCCGCCACCAACCTGCTCAGTTTCCAATTTTTCTAAGTTTCAAGTGTAAGTCAAAATCGGCCCTTGCCCATCTCTTGCCCATCACTAATCATCAGGGAGATGCAGATCAAAACAACAATGAGATATCATCTCACACCACAAAGACTGGCCCACATCCAAAAGAACAAAAGCAACTGGTGCTGGCGCGGATGTGGCGAGAAAGGGACTCTCCTTCACTGCTGGTGGGAATGCCG